TCCCTCTGAGTTAATTTCTTGCAATTCAGTGATTGAAGTTTCCATCCTGCAGTGCTTTAATGTTTCCTCTGAAGTTCATAGTAGCCTTCTTCCCTTGCTAATATCCATGGCAGCTGGGATTGCTCCCCAGCCTGGACTGGCAACTTGCAGGGTAAAGAACTGGGCCCTGAAAGTTGTGTCTCATTTAATTGTAGCAGTTCTGGGGCTTGTATGAAGGCCTGCTTTATAATCAGCTTGACTTCATTTTAAACAGACAAACAAAAGCATTTTCAGCCTGGGAAAAAGCTCTGAGTTTCAGAACAATCACTTTCCTTGTCACAGTGATGCTCGGATCACTCTGAATCATCCTTGGACTCCCTTTCTTATCAGTAGCCCTTTTGCTCTTTGTTCACATGCTACTTTTCCATCCTTGCTAGTCCTGGGAGACAGGAGGAGACAAAAGTACCCTCACAGCTGCTTTCTGTCACTGTACTTTAGTTTGAGACAATCAGAGTAAGTAGATCTGTGCTCTGTTTTAGTTTCATGCTTGACTACTGTGGTGAATGATTTAAGGTCTGTGTGCCATGGAAGGAGGAAAATAAAACTAAAACTTCCTAGATGGGAAGTCCTTCAAACACTGGCATACAACAGTTTTTTTGGTGCAGTATGTATTTCCAATCCCTTAAAAGACTAGATCTAAACAAATTGTTCTACAAACCTATCATGTCTAGGAGAAGGGAGACTAATATTGGTGAAAGTGTAGCTCCAGACTACTGTGAGTCTCGGAGAAATCGAAACAAAATTGTATTTGTGTGGGAAGGGAAGCAAGGAATAACTAATTATGGAATGTCATATATCAACAGTTGTCTTTCTTCTCTCTTCGGGGGACTTCAGAGAATATTTTCTTAAACTAGTTCTTCACAGCTTCTATAATTAAAAAAAAAGTTGTGGAGAGTAGTAAGGAAGAAAACCTAATGCAGTTGAATTGCACACAGGAGATTTGGCTTCAAATCCTGATTTTCATGGAGTCTTGGCTTTCCCTGGTTCATTTGCTGAGTGCCAATGGGGGCATTGCTGTTAGTTATAAAAGTTAGCACTGCATCTTCCTAAACCTCCAGCCTTCCATTTTGCTGCTGCTCCCTTCACACTTTCAAAGCACATCAAAGAGGCCCCTTTAGGTACTGGAAGGTGCTCTAAGTTCTGCCTGCAACCTTCTCTTCCATTGTGACCCTGCCTGTGGGTTGCTCAGTAAACTGCAGTGTGTTGCACCAGGCTGTGATAGTAACTGATCAGGACTGGACTTCTAGGCCAGCACTGAGAGTTCACTGGATGTGACCAGACTTTGAGTGTATCACAGCATTTGTGAATTTGAAAATGTGGTAGTTTTCATTGAGTGTAATTGGAATTTAAGTGTCCATTTGCCCTGCATTTCTGTTCCTTAGTGTTGAATTTGCTCTCACTCAGAATAAGCCCAGCTTTCCCCAGCCCCTCTTGATATCTGAGGTGAGTTGGGATGAAAAGGTGTTATTTTTCTGCCAAATTTAATGCAACAAAAAAATTGGCTGAACTCTGAAAGTGACAGGGTGTCGGGACTGATCCAATAGCACAAAGTTGTACTTTCCTATGGAGGTAATCAGACTGTGCTCAGGTGTGGAGCCAAATTAGACAAAAGGTAGAGTCCAGCATATGCAACAGGGAGGATATGAAATGCTGGGTTTAAGTCCATGTGGTCTCTGGGTGAAGAAAAAATGGGAAGTTCCCCTGGTTTATCAGTGTGGTCCTTGGCCTGGTGCTGCTGAGGATCTGTTGCTTTGTCATCAGCATTTAGAGTTCTTGATTCCTCACTAACTGAGGAGAAGTTCTTGTGTAGCAACTCCCCCCACCACCCACAAAAGCTTTCTGTCAAGCAATGTGAAATGTCTTGTAGCCATAACACAACACACAAAAAATGCTGAGATGCTCCAATATTGAAACCTCTCAGGCTAAAGACATGTCATGGTATGCTGCACAGAAATGTTACTCTGCCAACAAATGCTGTCCCTCCCACCCTGACTGCCATGTGACTCATTATTTGAGTATATTGCTCTACCCAAGCAAACATAAAGGAAAACATCCTAATATCTTGTAATAGTAGCTTGTCATCAGTCATGAGCATGAATCAATGGGTGTGTTACACTAATGAGAGAGAGCAGCTACCCTGCAGCATTTTAAGTGGTTCTCTGATACCCTGCAGACATCGTGCAGGCCCTCCTGTGCAGTAATCCATGCCAACACTTTTGTAGCATTTGGTGCTTTCCACCCAGTCTCTTGGGCATTCTGCTCATCACAGGAAATGCCTGAAAATGCTATATATTCACTGACTAAATACTTGTGGTTTGGTTTATAGGCCAGGCTAACTGCTTCTAAAAATATATCCCTTTCTTCCAAAGCAAGAGAGCTAGGGTTGCTGTTTGTTCCTTTTCAAAGCCCCTCTACTATTCCATGCTGCTTGCAGTCATTCCAACCTCTCCTTTGTCATTTAGGTGTGGTTTGTGGGCAGCTTTTTATTGTTTGAGTAATGCACTGAATGCTCCTTTACTTAATGCCCGCTGTTTGCCTGTGTGTTGGGATTTTTCTAACTCAGCATGTACAAGCTGTTTGAGGGAGTAGAATCAGATCCGTGAAAGCCTCCACATGGGGAATTGCAGAAAAGGAGCTTAATTCAAGCAATTTTTAGATACAGTGATGTATTGTCCCCCACCAGCAAGCTTTCTGAATACAAGGGGTTTAAAAGGTCTGGGTTTGCAAAGTAACTTCCTAGGAGGTGGTTTCCTAAGGAATTAATCTCTGTCATTAACAGTGTTCATCTACTCACCATGATAACTGCACCCGTTTTCTTAAGGCAAATTCACAGAATTTTATGTTCTTTGTCATCTACCTATTCTAGACACATTCCTTTGGAGTGTAACCCTTCTGGATTGTATCCATTTCCTCACACTATTCCAAAGGTCATTGAGAGAGAGTCAGCTCTGAATTACCATGGGCAAGGGCAGTTGCATAGGCATAGATTCAATTTTACACATTGATAAAGATGTGAACTTCCTCCAAGTAAATAGTCTGTCAAAGGCAAACTTGTGGTGGTGCTCACAGGGGTCCCAGGATGAGGGAAGAGATGAGAATCTTGATTCCATGTTTCAGAAGGCTAATTTATTATTTCACTATATATATATATATATTATATTAAGACTATCCTGAAAGAATATAAGAAAGGATTTCATCAGAAGGCTTGAAAGGAAAGGAATGGAATATGGAATGATAACAAAATCCTGTGACTGACCAGACACTCCGAGACAGCTGGACTGTGATTGGCCATTAATTAGAAACAACCACATGAGACCAATCAAAGATCCAGCTGTTGCATTCCACAGCAGCAGATAATTATTGTTTACATTTCATTTCTGAGACCTCTCAGCCTCTCAGGAGAAAAAATCCTGGCAAAGGGATTTTTCAGAAAATATCATGGCTACACAAACTGGCAAATGAATTATTTTCCAAGTTAGTTGAAAGGCTTGCCCAGTAAGGAGATTACAGCACTCATTTGCCCTCTCAGTGACAATTTAAAAGGTCAGTCACCCCAAATACTATACCACTACAGTATACACCATGGGCAGTTGAAGCTTCAAGGTCAGAACCAGCTGTAAAAGTGCAATCCTTACCATGAAGTTCTGACAAAATTTCCTGCGACCTTTGTCGCTGCTGGTGAGGGACAGGGATTCCTGATGCTTTGGGAGCAATATAAGTACGGAGCTATTGCAGTTAAGAGCGTGTTGGCACACGGATGGCAGATCACCTCGCTGGCTGTAGGCAGAAGGGAGCCCACGAAAGCCCAGGGAACGCTGCTGGTGAAGCAGCCATCCCACCCGGCCTGAGAGCTGTCATCCCCTGCCTCTCGCAGGACTAGGGAGCTCACCCTTCACTTTTGAACTATGTATCTCGAGGCCCTTGGCCACAGAACTGTTATGTGTAGTCAGAGATTTTTATCGCAAATAGCCCGTTTTTCTGCTCGTTAGGCAGATGAACCGCCCAACTTCCCAGCAGCAGAGGGCAGCAATATAACCCCTGGCAAAGAGGACGGTTTAGCGCTTTATGAAATACAAGCTTTTCACAGGCTCATTCAGTTTGTTTACATTATATTGTTGTTGAAATATGAAGAAGCTGTTCATTCTTTCCTCCTTCCCTCCCAGTGGTTCAGCACACAGGCTCATATGACTACAACTTTCTGATGCTGCGGATGGAGCACACGATGTTAATGACTCTGGCTTCTCTCGCTGGGCTACAGAACCGCCGCTGTGACTGGCAATACACCTCCACTGCTGCTCCTTTTGCTTCTGGTCTTTTTGCATAATTGAGCACACGCAGTAGACTTTGTGCCTGAATCAGTACTGCAGTGGAAACAGGTTTTGTTTCCTAAGTTTTCGTTGATTTTTTTCCCCAAAATAACACTTCATGAATCCAAATAAATGCATGCTGGCAGTTGGCACTGCCAGTGATGAGCTGGTGTTGTTTCATGCACGTGTAAGTGCTGAGGTGCAGGCTGCCTGCCTGCTCGCTGGCCATTCAGAAGAAACATTAACACACATCCCCACTTGTTGGCACGGAGCCACCGGCACATGCAGGGATCGCCCGGGGCTTGTCGCCGGTCGCCTGGTGCTGGGTGACTCCTGGAGCTCCGAGTACCCCAGAACGCGATACTGTGAGAGATTCAGCCTCTCCTTTCCTGCTGCATTTAATCTGCTAAAAATAGCAGAGTGCGGTGCTCGCCCGCCGCTGCCACCGCCGTGCAAGGACAGCCCGGCCCCGCTGCCCTCGGCGGGGGCTCCGCGGCCGGCGGCGCTGGCAGGGCGGGCCGGCCCGGCTTACATAACACCGCCCGCCGGGCCGGGCCGCGGCGGCGAGGGCGGGCCCTCCGCGCAGCCCCCGCAGCGGCGGGGCCGGTGCCGGGCGGCCCCGCCAGGCTCAGCGAGCGCCCGAGCGGCCGCAGCGCGGCGGGGGAGCGGCAGCGCGGCCCGGGGCTGCCCGCGGGGGAAGCGGCGGCGGCGGCGCCGCTCGGTGAGTGCCACGGGCCCTGCTGCGCTGCTCGGGGCCTGTTGCCGGCGCTGGGGGGCTGCGGGGGGGAGAAGCGATGAGGCGGCGGCGCCGGGGACTGCACCGTCCCGTATCCTGCCGTCCTATGCCGTGGCGTCCCGTCCCGTGTCCTGCTGTCCCGTGCGGTGCTGTCCCGCCGTCGGGAGCGCGGTGCGGCACGGCACGGGGCAGGCGGGCTCGGCGGGGCTCGCTGTCAGCCCGCCCGGCTCCAGACCCGCCTCCTGTTGCTCGGCGCGCCGGGCAAAACGCGGCCGGGACAGCCCGGTCCCCGCTCGGCCCCGGGCCGGCCGCCCGTCCGTGTAACGGGGAGAGCGGGCACCGCCGGGGCTGCAGAGCGGGAGCGCTGGCGGGGCTTGTCCTTGCCAGGACAGCTCCGTGGGTACTACGAGAGCTCCCTGTCTGCTCCTGATACACCAAATATCGTAGCTGCAGTAACTGCAGCATATCTGCCTAAGTAACGTACGCTAAACGGGCAAAGCCTTTTATTTAACTTCTTTCAGAAAATCGTACCTGCCAGCCTGGTTCAGCACTTAGCTGCATTCTGCAACTTTTCTTCAGATAGATGTCAGGCTCTTGCCAAAGCCAGTTGCTCAGCGTTACTGTCACATTTCTTCATCTGTAGGTTCCCACTGCCAGGACTCTCACTGCGGTTTGCAAGGTCCTCGTTCCTCTTCTCAGAGGAACACTTCCCACTTCTCTCCCTTTCAAACCTATCGGATACATCCCAGTTTGGCTCTGGTTCCCCTTAAGGGGGTTTGACCTTGTCTCATATTTTCTTCCTAAATAGAAAATTTCCCAGTTTTTCTATTATAAAAGCAACTAACATTATGTGTAACTTCTGTATGTAAAGTTCCTCCACACCCTAAAGTATACTGAGGCTTTCGTTTTTCATATACTGTTCTCTGCCATCTGTTTTATGTTTTATTTGCACATCCTTATTGGCTTGGCCTTGTGTGAGTTTAGATCTTTGTCCAGGAAAATTTTATTCTACTCAAATAGGTTAACAGACTGAAATCTGCAGGAATTATGCATGTATATGATGACTAATTGTGAAAATTATGGTTGCAAGATACTGCTTTATTTTGTGAGTTTATCTGAGCAAGGATGCCTGTCTTCCCCTTTGCCTCAAATCTAAGCCTGGCTGTCTTGAATCATTAATGAAAAATAAAATCACTATGCTTCTCTTGCCACTTCCTTGCTGCTAGTTTTGGTTGTTACTTTTTAGCCCTTGGCATGGTGTATGTCATCTGAAAATCTTTGTACACAGTGTTTGTTTTCTGGGGAAAGAATTTTAAAAATGCCACAAAACTTTAAAAGCTGATTGGTTGCCTTCAAGTGTTTTTCTTCTTTTCCTGGAAGTGTCTCAAATCTGCAGCTGTTGAAATGCACATCAGCTTGGCACAGTCTCTGTGGCTGCCAAATGTGTGAGCCAGTTGGATCTCAAGGAAATGTAACTTATTGCAGTTGGTCTTGTGGCAACTCTTTGTTCCACAAGAAACAAACATCTTTTGGTGAGTCACAGCAGCATTGTTCCCTGCAAACTAGTTGTCAGGAAATGGAGTCTGACAATCCCAGTGGTCCCTCTATAAAAGCAGCTTTCCCCTACACCCAGTGCTGTTTCCATGTTGTTTGTGAATCATCAGAGCCGGACTCCCCTCAGATTCCCAAGGAAGACAGAATTAGCTGCTGTTCAGGGTGTGGTATTGTGGTGCTTGCCTCTCTTGTTGTCTTTCTTCTGATAGTTCCAGTTGTTCCCTTCAGCCATATTTCACTGCTCCTCCTTTCCCTCTCCCCTTGGCCAGGGCTTATACCCTATCTCCAAGTCTGTTCCTGGCACGTGTCCTCTGTGTGGCCTTTGTGCACTAACCTCACTGGACTAACCTCATTGGCTTTTCTTGGGAATAAGCCATTTTTTGTGTTCTATCTGTGGCTTACAAATCATCCTTAAAACTGTTGTATGCACTTGTGGATGCTTGGCTTCAGAATGTGGCTGTACCTGCATGCACATGACTTTGGAGAGCAATTCCACTGCCTCAGGGGATGCTCCACACCTGCACTGCAGCTTCAGAAAGATAACTGGCATCTGTTGGAAACAAGGTTTTTTGCCAGCATTTAATATATGTATACACATGAGTCTTGGTGTGTGTCCCTTATGTAATATTTTTTGCCATTTCTCAGTTTCAGCCAAGTATGACATAAGGAGAACAGCTCCAAGGTAATTAAGTTCCTGCAAATTTTGTAGAAACAGGCCAACAGGGAAAAGCAAGTCTAAAATCAGACACTTGCTACTTTTCCCAAGTTTTTAGATCAGTGACTGAGTGATACATTCATATTTGACAGCCTCCATTTGGGAATAATGTGTTTGGTGCAAATGAAGCTGTAAAGAAAAAGGGAGAAGGATTTTGTGAGGAAATGCCCCTGCACTGGCATCTCCCTTAAAACTTCAAAGAATACAAGTAACACTGATATGATACATTGCATTTTGAACATGGGAACAGAAAATCTTGGTACAATTCAGTGTATACTTTTAATCAATCAAGGAACACAGCTCTGCAGATCTGATTTCCTGAGGTGGCCTGCTCACAGAGTGCTTTGTTTTTACATCCCTGCATCTCCAGGGCACAACTCCTGTCTTTGTTCTGCCAGGCACACATTTGCACAAGTACAGAAGGGCTGTGATTTCACTCTGATCACACTCTCTAATGTCTTTAGATTTATTTTATTTTGACCAAATTGGCCCACAGTTTCAAGACTGCCATCATATAAGCATAATTCCCATGAAACCAAGCAAAAGCAGTGACCATTCATCCTGACTCAAAATAATGTGTTCTGGCAGGACAAATCCCAGATCATTGGTAGCAATGACAAGATACTGCATTTCTGTTTTGATTTGGGGTTTTTAAGTGTTAGTCCTTGTCAGCTGCAGATGGGATTTTGTGGCACAGCTTTGATATCCTCTCAAACATGTTCTGCCATAGACAGGTGCAGTAGTGTCCTTAGAAAGGGCCCCCTTATAACTGGGTTGTGTCTGTCTGCGTAAGGATTGTGGGCCAAGTGTGAATCCTGGTAATTCAAGCATGTGAAATGAAAAGATCACATTGTAGCAGGAAAAATTCTTGAGCTCCAGGAATGTTAACAGAGAGTGCAACTGGCAAGGGAGTTTTTTGCTTGGCATGTTTTCTATATGAAGACAAAGGTATCATGTACCTGAGATCAACAGGAATAAATACCAGGTCCTTTAATACCTCTTTGAGTCTGGCTGAAAAAACCTTTTTATTGTCTTTGGAGTGCAGAAAGTGGAATACTTTTAAAGGAAAATATCTCTTAGGGTAGTGCTTACTGATGGTCAGTAACGCCTCAGCTTCTTCAGGCTGTAATTCCATTAAATTAAAACATGCAAAACAGGTGGTCAGGGTCCCTTTTGATCATGCAGGTCTGCTCTGCAAACAAGTGAATGATAGGAAATTAGTGTCCTCAGTTAATATTGGTTAAAGTAGTCTGAAATGTCATGACAAAAACTGAAAAGTGTCATTTGTGTCATCAGTTGCCATCAAATGCAATGTTTAAAGTTCAAAACAGCCTGATAATGATTAGTTAGAGGGCCCAAATATCACAGCCTTAAATTTTGCTTACATTTTGATCTGAAATAGAGTTTTATTGCCTGAGGCTGATATTGGCATATACAGACTTCTAATATTTCCATGACTAGCTGCAGTGTTGTCAGTATCAACTTAGACACAGTCTTGTTCTTTAGTTTGAAAACTTACTCTTCTTGTTTGTTTTCCAGTGTTTGTTGAGGGTATAACAGTTGAAGTATCAAGGAAATGGAGTCTTTTAAACTGAAAGTGGAGATCCTTACATAAGGATTGCTCCTTACACACTCTTCTGCAGAGCTGGAGCTCCAAGTCAGTCCTTGCCTTCCACAAGGACTGATGATTCTGCAACAATGTCTGTTAGACATTGCTGTGGATTCACTGCTTTGCAGACATAAAGTAGCCTGAACTGTTTCTTATCATATGTTCCTGTATTGCTAATAAATTGTATTACAGGATGGTACTGCCTGAATTACAGAAAAACTACTCAGAGAGTAGAACCCTGGGGTATTTAACTTCAGGTATCTGAAGTGGCCCCTCCTCAATGCTGAGGAAAGAATGGTAGTCAAATAGGGGTGGTGGTTCTCACTGACACCCCATATCAGGTTAATAAGCAATCTTTGATGTCTCTGGCTATGTACACAGTTTAATTGCATTTCAAGGAAAGTGTATTGATTTAATTTCTTTTCCTTAGACAGAACTGACTTTTAATGTCTCTGCTGTTACAAGCTCCTTTTCTCTGTTACATTTAAACAGAAGACATGGACTTGATATGAAGTCCTTCATATCAAGCAATTTCAAGAGAATTTCTGCTTTGACTATAACAGACTGAGGATTACAGGGCAGTCTCAGCCTTGGGATATCACTGAACAGGTGCATAAAAAAACATACTGTAAGAAATTAAAAGATAGCAGGAAACCAGGAGAACCAGGAGACTGTAATTTGATTGGAATTCAGGTATCAAGCTGTGGCTTGTTTGTTCTGTTCTTTATTAGTGTTTATTTAGTGGCACTGAAAGGTGAAATACCTGCTGTTACAGTTGTGCTATGCAGAAAGCCTTTTGAGAAACATGACAGTAATACTTGGGAGTGCAAGCTGAGTGAGAGCCTCACGTGGGACAGCTTGTGCTGGGGAACTTACTGTTGTATGTAGTAGATTTAGTGCCTGTCACCAGGGAATCCTAGACACACTTTACATAAGGCTGCCTGCTGCTCCCCTTGTGGCTGATTATGATTATAATAAGAACAGAAGGGATCAACAATAATCACCTGGTGCAACTGCCTGATCACTTTGAGGCTGAGTAAGAATTGAATCACATTATTAAGGGCACTGAATGCCTCAAACACTGACAGGCTTGGGGGATTGACCACC